GACCAATGTTATTTTGCAGTTACTATTCTTTAGTTTTTAGCTTATTCTAAAAAGGATAATAACTCTCAAAACTATAGAAATGACTACAAAGAACGAAATCGAATAAATCAATAGAAAGTTGCAGTTTGCGATATGCATCGCACATTTCGTCTGCCGTGCGTCTGCTGCAGTATAAATCGTTCTAATTAGATTTTGACTATGAAGCTTCTTTTTTATATAAAAAAGCTACAAAAAATTCGTTAATACTGCTACTACAGTAAAACAAAGACCGGTTTAGCGCTTTTTAATTAGATTTTAAAATAAAGATATTCCATAACGAATTTCATTGCATAGCCAATGAGATTAAAAATGTAAGATCTCCCAAAGTGAATAGTGAAATAATATTTAATCCACAACCATAATATACACTAATTTACAGTTTCATAAAAAATTTAAATATTGGACTTTGGAAACGTGTTGAGTGTAATTGATTAAAAGGAACCGTAAAAAGCGTGTAAATATTTAATTTGTATTCCATACAACGTTTCTCATTAAAAGAAAAGTTCGAACGCGAAAAAAATAGCAAGAAAAGTTTCTAATCTGCCACCCCTATCGTTACAGATCTGTTATTTGGCTGTTTCCATGGAAACACGAATCCCGTATTTCGCTTGATTTTGCCTTGTCAATCAACCTTCTCAGACTCGTTGATTGAATGAGATTTTATTGAGAGAGAAGGAGAGAGAGAAAAATCTTTTCTCGTGCTAAGAAAATAGGGCATTTTTTCTATAGAAAATATTTCCAGCTGCAAAAAACAGTTCCTGTCTAGTAAATTAAGCGAATTAACAACCCATGTCTAATTGAGTCATTCAAAACGGCTTGTTTACGACTCATTTTCTTCACCGTGACCACCAAATGTGCCCTGCTAAGGCAACGTTACAATGTAAAAACTGTTTTTGCTATAGTATTCTTGGCTTGTCTGCATTAAAAAAACAAAAAGAGAAACTCTAGGGATGAATTAAACGTGGTTTTATCAGTAGAAAGAACACAAGCAAAACCGTTTATATGTAAGCTAATGTTGACCTATTTAACAAGTTCGTGTTGTTCCTATCTTGAATTGATCAAAGTATAGTTTTGATAAGCTTTTCAAAGAAAAAATGTGATTAAGTTGTGTGTAAAAGACTTGCCAGCGGTATGGATTATTTAGAATTATTTTAAAAAGCTCTGATCCATTATCAATTATAAAGAAGCAATATCTTTTCACATAGTAACTTAATGAATATCATTGTTCCGACTAAGAACACTTTTTCTCCTATCGAAAAGGCTATTGCCGTGTGAAAAAAACACACAGAGAAAAATTCTTCACGCGTTTCGTTACAAATTTTCCAACCCGGTTCTGACCTACTTTTCCGATCACGTGATATAAACATATCATGTTTCACGCTATGCGGTGGGTAAAATGTTCCTCTCTTTTTTATTTATCTTAGGAAAATTATATTATATTAACTACATTTAAGGGTAGAGTGTTAGAACTCCCTGTGGCTTTTAGGAAGGCTCTCTTCTCCCCAATTAATAATCCAGTATAATTAGATCAACTACATGAAATGTGAAGATTTTATTTCGTCCGTTTTTGTCAGAATTTACACGAAGCAAAAAGTTGCTCTATACAATAAAAACAAGAGTCGTAAAATGCCTAATAAAACTAGTCGTAAACTTTTTAACAAAAAGGGGCGAAATTGAGTTTTAACGACTTGCTTTTGTTACAAAGTCATATTTGCGAGTAGTTCGACCCGGTCAGGAGAAGTTTAATGAGGGAAATTTGTTCATTTTTAAACACGATTTCGATATGTATACACCCAACCTAACTAAATTTAACGGATAATCGGGGAAAATCTATGTGAGAAGACATTCTGGTAATTATTTCGTTTTGAAATATCTTTTTGTTATGCTGTATAAGAAGTTCGGTTCTTGCATTATTTTTCTTACGATCTATTTACTTAAAATCTACTTTTTCACACTTTATCTATAGTATAATGAAAAAAAACAGCTTCCCTTAAAGGAGATTTTACAAATTAATATTAAATGAAATTGCTTTTTTTAAATTAACGATTTTTTAAGTGAATTTAGAAGAGTTTTCTTTTCCAAATAGTCTTCATTGGGTGCAAATTATAGTTTATTTCCAGAATATTTATGCATATAATTATATATACATATGTATATATACATGATCTTCATTTTGTATGTTAATGCCTATATATATAATTTACATCTTATAGTAAGAGCACATCTGCTTTCAAAGAGAATTACACATGCGTATTGTAGGAACTAAATTGAACAGATCTTATCCAGACTTGATTTAACTGAGCAAGGATAATTAAGTATAGTAAATATAGGGGCAATTTCAACGATAATACCCGGGTGAAGGCAATATCACCAATATCATCCTCCATATATGGGTAATATGAAAATAATAACAATTTTCTTTTTGAAAATAAATTTTACTATGTTTCAGTATCGATTTATGATATATTGTAAGTATCTAGCACGAGAGTGTATCCGAAAGCGACATTTGTATTTAATCCACTAACACTTCAAATATGTTCCAAATAGTAGTAGGTGTTTATTTATATCCACCCTAATATAAAGCAAAGTATTCGAAATATACAATGTTCTCGAAACAAACTGAACAAAAATCTGAAAACACAGGAATATATATGAAATAAAACGTAAATTGCCTATATTTCATGAATCACGTGGTCTAAATCGGCCAATCACAGAAGCAGTAATTTCTATAATGACATTATATCAAAATGACGAATGATTATAAAGGTGAAGTTTAATGATCAGAATATGGGTTTAGATCGAAAATTAAATCATTTACAGTAACAGATCAATAACTTGAATATAGACTATATATATTACATAAAACCGTTCATTTGTATATTATTTATTGGCAATCATCAGGCCTATATATCTAAACTGATAGAGGCATTCGTTTTCTATTAATAGGTCTCGGATGCATATGTATCGTAGCAGCTGCTTCATTTTACAATCTCTATCTATGATCATTTTTATTATTCATAATTGATGCTGGATTTATTACTTATTTTTTTCAAATTTGTTGAGCGATTTAGAATAGACTTCAAAAGTTTCAAAATATTAATAATGGAAAAAAGATTATTGAGTAGTAATCGTAAAAAGTTTATTGTCTTGATCAAGACTTCTGTAAAATATAATGTTCATATATAATTTATTTCGATCACTATCCATCATGCCTTTCTAGTGATTCACTCAGCCCTAAAGATACTGTCAGCCCACTATGACGCAATCGTGTATCACGTGACGCTTTGTTGCGTCCAATTATTGGACGGTCGATCAATATGGCGTCAACTAATTTACATATCCTTGGTTAACTAATAAAGTATATGTACTTACAGTTACATACTAAGTGATGGGTAATAAAACGGTAATAAAAAGGTCGTAACAATAAATCCTTTGCAAGATTCGTGTAATTGATGGGGTATATTGAACGTCTTCTTTTTCGATCGATCGAAATATTCTATTTGCCTATCTTTCTTTGCCAGTAACGCATATCTGTCAACACCGTCCTATGACGTCACAGAGACGTGACCTGAATTCAAAAGAGATAAAATTTTCCATTTTTTCTAGCTAATACTCGAAAGGGAACAGTCTGTTTGAACACGGTCGAATTGGTCAGTAACCCTTGACCTTCTTTAGCATAACGTTCAGTGTTACTTTGTTTGCAATGGCAGCTGAACACTATTTATCTTTTACGCCTTGAGCAGAGCTAAATGCGTTTCTTATAGAATATTCAATTTTCATTTATAAACGCCTTTTTATTTGCATATAAGAATTTCAGCTAAAAGTAGGTCAAGACGACGCTTTGAGCTATAATTATAAATCAAGTAAGGATAATGAGCGTATTGCGTGTTGTACTTGAAATTCCAAAGGATTTCATTTGTTTCGAGCATTGAACGTCTTTAAATCCATTCTTGCAGGAAAAGAAATATTTGTAGTTTGTATTCTGTAACTCACCTTACATTAGTCTCTTATTGTTTGTCAGCTTTTGATTGATAGTTATTCTGTTATTCTTAAAAAGAAGCTGTAGTCCCATTTAATTATATTTTTGCTGAATGGGACTAAGGTTAATGGAAAAAGAAAGTTGAAATAAGAGTTCATCTTTTAGAAGGAATATAAAAAGCATTTTCCTCTCTCGAAAAGCCTACGAAATTAAGAATTCTACACATAATACTGTGCAGCAGGCAAAACAATTTATCGTTGGAAAGACAAAGCGCTTGACAAATTCAATGTTTTTTTTAAGAATCTGTTTTTAGTAGGATTTTAAGTTTCATAGAAAAGAGATACGTCTCATGTTTTTTCTTTCGATATTGTTTCTTTTGCTTAAAAAAATTATCTTTTTTTTGTATCTATTACTGATCTCGATAAGATTTTTGTGTATGGAACAAAATAGATATTTTCCCTCCTAGTGTCTTAGCTATAAAATCGACTGATGATTCGTGTAAAAATATCTGTACGACTATTAAAAGAAAACCTAAATATAACTTAATACAACCTATGTTTTAATAAAGTATGTACAAAAGGGTTTAGACATGTTATCGTTGTTATTGATTTCCTTATTGTGAAAATATTATCGTTGCAATTATTATCAGTGGTATTCTTATTATTGTTATATAATGGCACAATCACGCACGGCACAACATTGATAAAGAAAGGAGATTCTACTCTAAATTTTATATGTTTATATAGAAAAATAAATATGTATATGGAAATATCCTGTCGTCTTCTAGTTTATGGAAATACATTTTTATATTTGATGTAAAATTTTGAAATTAAACGCACAGGCAAGATGAAATGAGTTTATGTAAGAATGTTCACAGAAATATATTTACATGACTGGTTTTTTTGAATGATTTTAAGCAAGTAACATATACACTTTTATATATAAAATATATATACAATAAGTGTATATATATATATATTTAAAATTTTAGTATGAATGCTTTAGTTACAATATCCATGTACGTATTAATGCGTATATGTAAGTGTATGTACAAATCCGAACTTACGTTGTATATATAGTCTTTGCACAACTGTCATGCGTAAACAGCGAATACTTAAATAGACGAACAAATGAGGTATCCCTGACAACTTGTTAACCCATCTTAAGTTTATGGATTATTAAGTTCATGCATCTCCGAATTGTCTAGATCATCCAATAACGATTCATCAGATCTTCCTTTTGTATTAGGCAGACGATGCTCTTTCTTATATTTCATTCTTCGGTTTTGGAACCAGATTTTTATTTGGCGTTCTGTCAAGCAAAGAGCGTGGGCAATTTCAATGCGTCGTCGCCTGGTGAGATAGCGATTAAAATGGAATTCTTTTTCTAATTCTAAAATTTGATGTCTGGTGTAGGCGGTCCGGGTTCTTTTTGAGTCCCCACCGTAACCGGTTCCTATTTGAAAAAAAGTCAAAGTAATCAAAAAGTGTTTTATAATTTCCATACAAGTCTATTCAGTTGTTACATCTCATTTTTACACTAAAAATGCTCTTATAGTACATGAAACTAAAACTATCGTATCAAATGTGCATTAAAACACATGTTGGCTGATTATATAACAAATTCTCAATTGTATACGAATATCGATTTTATGAAGGTCATCTATATTTAATCGTTATCAATAGAAAATATCGAGTGAATTCAATATTGTATATAGCAAATTGAATTTAGTTTAATAGATTATCGTTAGGTGGCGTCCATTATCAAAACAGGAATATAGCGCATAAAAAAGATAAATCACCTGAAACATTAATCAAAATCTACTCAAACTAACATTTTATCGGTCGATGATTACGCAATGATTGAAATAGCCGAAAGTCTATTATCATTAGAGACCTCGTTAGCCTCATGAAACATAATGTATTTTAAAATAACTACTGAGTATTAAAGGTTTCTAGAATACTTAAATTAAATATATTAATGTATTGACGAATCTAGATATAACTGTCCTACCAGTTGTACTGTGCACTTTTTTCATCCATGGATAAATAACGGTACTCGTCTGGGACGTCGAGTGATTATCTGGCGGCGTCGAATTTTCCGGAGACGGCGTAGACGCTACAGGGCTCCGATTTTGAGCAGAATATCCATTCTGCAAGTTACTTGAGGATGCAATATCAGGAGAATTTATATTCATTTGAGGACAGTGATAAGCAAAACTGTCAATTTCCGGATAACTCCTCGGAAATGCTCCAGTAAAACTTTGCTGCCTTCCATAAACATAATCCGGATGCATAACCGCATTCTGCAAATAGTTAGAGGCTGTCTGAGCATACTCTTCTGCGGGAGGAGGAAATTTCGGTTCCGAATAATGTTGATTATTGATTACGAACGAACTCATAGTCATTAATTTCGCGATGCTTAGATCGCAAATAATTTTTCCTTGCTCAGTCCAGCCGTACACAGTATAGTCCCTCCCGCTGACTGATCACGTGATAACTCGCGACCAATCAGGTACCGCTTACTCATTTCGTCTAGTAACAACAATAATGTGCACGCTGCTTTTACCGAAGTTGACCTCTCAAATTTTTACAATTTTCGTCTTCATTATTTTGAACATAACATAATATGGAACGGATAGCGTTCCCATTTCCTGTTTAACTGAAAAAAAGAGTACTAATGAGGCGTGACGTGGTTGACTCGTAAAACTTCTTTTCGAAGAGCCCTAATAAAACAATTAAGGGGCTCAGAAGAAACGCTTTAAGTAAAAGAGCAGATGGCCCTGAAAAAAACGTTCGAACCCCACAAAGTTCGATATTTACCCGCATAGTTTGGTGACTATGGCGACGAATGGGTTATAATGATAAATCGGGGAGTATTATAGCAAAAGTAAACATGTTTCTCCAATATACAAATACTTAATTAAGACATAATGTGAAATTTATGTAAATTTGCGTCACTATGTTAAAACTTCAACCAACCAGGTGTCTAACATAATTAATTTTACATTCAATATCTAGGAAATATTAGGCAATTCTAGTATCTCAATATGAATATCTACTTTTTATCGATGCATATAAATCGTCAATGCATTTTATTATTGATACACATAGATTTTATCTTAAGATTTGTACGCAGCTAAAAACCATATAATACTGTTAATACTGTAGTCGCTAGAGGGCGCCATATTACGGAGAGGGGAGATCGGTAAAAAAATATACGTATACAGTTTTTTGTATATTTATACACTAATATATTTAGATACAAACTGTAGAAATTTTTTCGTTTAAAAATTTAAAAGTTTATTATACCATGAAAGTAAATCGGAAAAATTAGTTTGCTTTTTTATTGCTTATGTAAGCGTAATATTTTTTTATATGAACGATTTCTTTTTTTATAAATTGCTTCTTACACAATATGACCATCCTCTTTTTTATAGAGATAGTACCAATCTAGAGAAAGTTTTGTTATTACAATACGGCCAGAAGGTGATTGTCTTAAGGTAAAAAGAAAGACAAAATGAAAAATTTATTGTGTAAACTGAAGATCTTATTTACAAACAGAAATAAAATATTATAAACGGAAGCGTTAGGAAACTTCATAATATAGTTTATGCAAAACTCTTGCGACCAATGCTTGACCTTTAAGTTTAGCTCACATTGTTTGTATATATTACAAATTGTAAACAAACGCCGCTGCATGCCAAACTCTACAGCTGCCATGTCCTGATCAATCCATTCCCTTTCAGAACCAAAGGCGATCAAGTATTATTCAAAAGAAAGAGCTAGATAATCCGATTTTGCTGGCTAAGATTTGCAACATTTACAGCCGCAATGCGCACGGCACTACGGTGCAGAATAAAAGATAATCTCTTAGATACTGTTATTCCCTAGATAATTTTTTAAACTTTAGATTTTTTGTCGAATTGATTGTAATAGTTTCTTCAAGGAAAATTTTTAAGAAAACGCGAGAAAAATTTATGCTGTATAATTTTGATTCCCAAAAAGAAGGAGTAATTCCCAAATAGAACGCCTACGTTCTATTTCGATTCCCGCGCGTAATCACCGATCGACGCTACTCCGCCCTATCACGTGACCAGAAAATTTTTACGAAAACGTCTATATTTGCATTTTCAGGCCTATCTTTAAAATTACGTCATTGATTGTATTCAACGGTGCAGGGAATCGAATGAGAAGGAAAATTCTTTCGATTTTCTTATGCCGTTCTGCACCGCAATTTGCACGCTCCGTCGATTTTTCAAATGCACAGGATCGCCTCTGGCGCTAAACGAGTTTTTTATTTCTAGGCCTATTTTTCAGTTACTCATTGATTGGTGAACATTTCATAGCAAGAGGTGTGAGATTTTTTATAGGGTGTTTCTTCAAGTTTAACTTTCCATTTCTTTTAAGATTCCTTTTCCAAAACTTGAGGTTTCTATTGTATTTGATCATAAGTCAAGCAAATCCAACATCAGTAGCGACATCTTCAGGACATTTTCTGACGACATTGGCAACATATTGTGTTGTATATTGTATTAAAGAATGAAAATATCATGAAAGTATTTTTTTTATGAAAAGCCCATCGATTTATTCAAAAGCTGTTTACAATAGTTGATTGCAAAAATTTTTTACAGTTAAATATAATATATATATAATAAGTCTGTACTGAATTATTTGTGTTATAATCTAATTTTCGAAATGAGAATGTTACATTAGAAACGAAATAGTCCACAGTCGTTATAATAGTAAAGCTTTTTTTTTTAAAAGAAAACTTTGTAAAATGAAATAATTTCTCTCCTTTTCCCATTTTTTTTATCTTTATAATTTTATTTCTTCGTCTCGTATAAGGAAAGCTATTTTATCAACTTCTTTTTTAGCGAGTCACTGATTCTTTTGAACAAATGAACATTAATAGTCCAATTTAAGACGGCGCCATTTTAAATGAACAGATAGCGACGGAATGTATTGCATGCAACATCAAAGTGGATCAATATCAAACATCAAAAAAAATATATATATATAGATTTCGGTAAATGAACTTTCATAATGGAAAAAATACTTTTGCACCAGAGATACATATGCTGCTTTTAGAAAATTAAGTCTGTTACGTGTAATATATGAATGGCTTGCATAAAGTGTTTGAGGGAATCGGACGGATCTCCTTAGGTTAAGTGCAGTAAGGAGCCTGAGGGCACATATGCAATTTGTTGCCAAGTTACAACATATAGCATAAACACGCAATCACCATTATTTCATTATATAAAATTGCTACCTTGGAAACAGAGTGTCTAAAATAATAAAACACATGAATATAAGTCTAAAACAAACTTAGGCAGAGACCATTAATAAAAAGATATTTTTAACCTTTTTTATCAGACAAATACGGGTATCTTGTAATGCTTGTTCGTTTAGCTATAGGTTAGCGAGTTTATGGCCTTTTATTAGTGTATTTTAATAGGAAGTGCCATAATGATACTTTTATATTTCCTTTTAACTATTAACCTCATGAAAAAGACATAACAATAATTGTTATGTGCTTGCTCATAATGCACAACAGTAACAGAATATAAAATAATCATAAAAGTTTGACAAGAAAAATAAATGTATGAGGGAGATAATTTTATTGGCAGGGAATGTTGAATAAATACGAACGAGTTGTATATCTGATATTATACACGAATGGTTCAATAATAACTTCAATTATAGAATAAGTATCTATCTTTGAATATTACATTATATTTTAATGGAGTTAAAACTTGACTATTTGTTTCTAATAATTAACAAATATTTATTGGGTAATCGCTAAATATTCGTTTCAGTTTTATTTTAAAAATAGATTCCTTACTGAAAAACGATTTTTTTCAATGCGCAGAGTCTTGCGCGTTGGCCTAAATTTTAAAATCAGTGCAAATAACAGTGCAGGATCAGAAAATATACATAGCTAAAGCGCTACTGCTATTAATCATTCGGTTCTGCAGTCAAATAGATCCGCTTCTACAATACACGATATTGACGCGACCTAATTTCTTTCTACTATAAATAAATAGTTTACCCGATCTTATCGTTCTCACCGAAAAAAGAAAAATTAACAAACCTACAAATAACATTTTTTTAAATAGCGTAACCTGACCTACATGGTATTATTTAACCCTGTATTTAATAGTATCACCAAGCGACGGTATTTCGGCGACGCGCATGATTTATATTCTTATTATTCTATACCGATCGTCTCTAACTGTCATTGTCACTCTGTTGGGGGCAAATTATGCGAACGAATAGAAGCACGCAATCCAGAAGAGAACCGCAATGTTTTTGCGGTAATCAGATAGCGCATTGCAGTCCCAGCGCTCTATGCAGCTTTACTTTCAATCACTTTGTAGTAATGAGCTGTCGATTGCCGTCTCCTCGCGGCTAAATTTTTCTTTTTTCCGAATAGACTTTTGAAGACGGATAGTTTCACAGGGTTTTATGGTTTTGTTGAAGGAAATTCTAAATAATTGTCTATTTCTTTAAATAAATCATTTATAGATTGATTGGTAAACTGTGCGTTATGAAAAATTAGTTCTTCTCCTCAGCTCAATAAGATGATCCGATCATCAAATTACAAACTGTCACAAGATTGCATAAATTTGTGTAATGAAACTACCAACGAATACATTAAAACGCTAGTGCCTATAAAGTTACTGGTACTTTTTAAAATCATTCATCATTTTTTCTAGGATATGAGAGTTTTTCGATTATCATTCATTTCGCTTTTGCATAAAGCGTAAACAATTGGACGCTTAATCATATTCTTTCTTAATGTCATGTGATGAGGCACGTGACTGTGAGCAGCCAATAGATCGGTTGAAAATTTATTCAAAACGAAATATCAATACACATAAAACTTTTCAATATATTTTCCGTCCCATTCCCCTTAGGTGGTATTATTCAAAATTTTCGAACAGTTTTTTTCTGTTTTATTTTTGAGCGTTAACTTTAAAACAAAATTAATCTGTTTCGATTAAAATTATCAATATCTTTTGAATTGCATACTTGTCCCTAACTCAAAGAAACCTTGGAAATAATAAATAAAGGGCGGCTTATTGAGGTCACATGCTATGAATTTTGGAGAAAAAAGGTCAAGCTAGAAGGAAATGGAAAGATGAAAAACGACCTAGATAGTGAAAAGCGAGGGAATAGAGGAAACAGGCGCCAGCAAAAAGCGCTAGCAAACAGTAGTCAAGTGCAAAACTGACGAGATCAAAAGTCAATAGAGCAAAAACACTCCAGCCTGTCTGCGCTGCACTTTGAGCAAACTTAAAAACTGTATTTATCACGAAAAATGATAGGTAGAAGAATCTAAAGAAAACTAGGTCAAAAAACGTTTATTTTGTTGCGAAAATTTTCAACATTCCCTTCGTCCCTCATTCATCACTCGCAACGTTCCCTAATGATTTTATGATGAATATTCGTCGCCTGCTCGCGCGTATGTCTCCTGTTGACAC